CCTGCTGGCGTGGAGCGTGATCGAGTTCGGCGAGGTGATGCCCCCGGCCGAGCTGCGGAACGCTCTGGTGGCGGCCCGCTGGGGCACCGACTATCTCCTCAAGTCTATCTCTCAGCTGCCCAACCGGATTTTTGTGCAGGTAACTTAACAATGAAGGCTATATATCCTCCCTTACTTTCTTCGTTGTTTGCAGTAACCAAACAGAGCGTGCCTTTTCTTTATACTCTGATACAAGCTATCTACGTACACTGGGTCTCCTTCTCCTATCAGAATGCAGAAATGTTTATGCTCAAGTAATGTGAGTTAGTGTCCACCCAGTTTCTGCATTGTTCATGAAAAGGAAAATGTACATTTGCATAGATTCGTTCGTGGACGGTTTGGAGGACAAAGCTAATCATAATAAAGGAGAAAACTTGTAGGGTTTAAAGGTAAGGAAAGCTCAGCGCAAGCCTTACTTTTTCTCGAGATGTAGCTTCGTGAGTTTAATGACTGCAAAGTCTAAACACCAACAAGTCAGAATATTCGCCATTTCTTTTTGAGCCAACAAGATCCATCGTTCCATTACTCTCTTTTTTTTGCAAGTGACCCAGTTCGGCGAATTAGTTAGGGAGAAGACTAGAATATGGTTACTGCCTTCTCGCTTACGACGAGCGCAGCTGATAAGTTTGTCTGGTATTTTCGGCACGCGAGTCCATCTCTTTTCCTCTTTCTTTCTCAATCCTCCCTGAAAATCTAGCAGCCTAGGAAGAAAGGACCGACACTTCTTGTTGTGTTTTTGATAAAATAATTGAAGTTTGTTTTGGCAGAAAGAAAATGCCAACATAATTTTCGGGCGAGAAAATGCTAATTGGTTAGGGAGAAGACAAGAATATAGTTACCGCTGCCTTCTCGCTTACGACGAGCCCAGCTGATGGGGTTTTGTCTTGTATCGTTGACACGCAAATCCATCTCTTTTCCTCTTTGTTCTCAATCCTCTCTGAAAATCTAGCAGCCTAGGAAGAAAGTACCGACACTTCTCGTTTTGTTTTTGATAAACTGACGATAGTTTGTTTTGGCAGAAAGAAAATGCCAACATAATATTCGTGCGAGAAAATGCTAGTATTTTACTTCACTTGCATAGGACTCCGTGCTGCACTGCACATCATCAACAGGTGCATTACTGAAAGTGTTCAAGATATAGTCTTTTAACATCACCATCCACAAGCTTTATACCTAATTAATCTCTTCTAAAGTCCATGATATGATAAGTAATTAACTTCATTCTGGAGGCCGGATTTATTGTGGATCGGGTTGTAGAATCGGATCCAGATCGTGTCCATGTCAGCTGGATATTGGTCCAAGGACTCTGGAATCAGCTATAAACCTCGGAACTCCGAAACCGCCATGCTTGAACATTTCCTTAGACCCTTTCGGGAAGGTGCAGAAGTTGTCCAACTCCAACCGTTAACTCTCGTTTTCACTTGGCAGGCAACAACAATTGAATGAAGTTAACTCGAGAAAAGTTAAAAAAACATGCTTGGACGGCCTATCTGGAGAATATTTTGGTCCTCAATCTTTCATTCAGTTCTCAGAGCAAAAGCATTAATGATATTCCTAGGATCGGCATCGCAACTTCGATAATAATGGTTAGTGAATCAAGTGACGACTTTGATAATTGAGCGGTTTTGTCACAGGTGGGTGATCCAAACGTTGACCATAACTGCTGGGAAAGACCGGAGGACATGGACACCGCAAGAACAGCTTACGTTGTTGATGCCCCTAATCCAGCTTCTGACGTCGCCGGGGAGACCGCAGCAGCTCTGGCGGCGGCGTCCATGGCATTCCGGTCATCAGACCCAGGATATTCCGAGACCCTCTTGAGAAACGCCATCAAGGCATTCAAGTACGCCGACAATCACAGGGGAGCGTACAGCGACAATGCCAATATCAAAGACGATGTTTGCCCATTTTACTGCGACTTCGATGGGTACCAGGTAATGCTGATGTTGCATAATTTGGATGGCCAATGACTTTTACCGTTGTCCTAATCTACCAAAACTTTTTGCCAATAGTAGAGGGGAATCATTTTGCACGGATCATATCGCTTAATTAGATTATATGTTCAAGTGGGACATTGGGAAAATCCCAAGTTTGTCTCGAATATTCAACGCACCAAGCACAAACATCCATCAGAAAGATAAAACATATCCAACTCTCATTTGTTTATCCACACTTTTAGGATTACATGAGTTTTGACGCATCAAAATGACGGATTGTGCGCTTTGGTTTGTCCTCTGCTGAAACAGGACGAGTTGCTGTGGGGTGCGGCGTGGCTCAGGAGGGCGACTCAGGACAATTTGTACCTCGATTACATCCAAAACAATGGCCAGACACTCGGCGCCGAAGAGAATATCAACGAGTTTGGGTGGGACAACAAGCACGCCGGTCTCAATGTGCTCGTCTCCAAGGTACATATGAACCCGAAAACTACAATTTTCTGAACATCTAACTGCATTTCATATTCAGTGCTTAAATAGGCGACCATACCAAGTGGAATTAGGCTCGGTTTGTTGTTGTAAAATCGGAATAAATTCGTATATATTTTCAGGAATTCCTGGAAGGTGGCATGTTCGCGCTCCAATCCTACAAGGGGTCAGCGGACAGCTTCATGTGCACGCTCATCCCCGAATCATCGACCTCTTACCACATAGACTTCACTCCCGGTGGCCTCATCTACAAGCCCAGTGGCAGCAACCTCCAGCACTCGACCTCCATCTCGTTCCTCCTCCTCGTCTACGCCAACTACCTTGAGCGGACCTTGCAGTCCGCCAGCTGCGGTGGCATGACCGTGGGCCCGGCCGAGCTGCGGCAGCAGGCCAAGCGACAGGTCGACTACATCTTGGGCGACAATCCAAAGGGCATGTCTTACATGGTGGGCTACGGCGAGCAGTACCCGCAAAGGATCCACCACCGTGGGTCCTCGCTCCCGTCGATCAAAGACCGGCCCGAGTCCATTGGGTGCAAGGAAGGATCGGTCTTTTTCAATTTGCCGGGGCCTAACCCAAACGTTCTCGTTGGGGCCCTAGTGGGCGGGCCTGGCGAGGATGATGCGTATGAGGATGACAGAGCCGATTTCAGGAAGTCCGAGCCGACCACTTACATCAATGCACCATTTGTTGGTGTGCTTGCATATTTTGCTGCCAACCCGGATCCTAGCTCATGAAGACTTACAGGAAGAACACAACCTCTAGGAGCTCCTTTCTTGTGCAGGAGTAGTTCAGGGTATGGGAAATATACAGGTCTCTCGTCTTGGGCATACCAAAGAAGGAAGAGGCTATCTCCGTTTTTGCCCAGTTTTTTGAGTTGTTTTAGGACTGGGAGAGTGATCTGCATCGGTTCTGTTTCTTTTTATCGTTGAATTCAGCCTTGTTTGTCATTGAGGCACAAAGCTTCAAAACAAGCTTAGGGGCAATAGGCATGTCCCGTTTCTCATGTCTCTATCATGTGGCCCTTGTTGTCTTTTGCATTTGATACAGTCAAGGTGATTGCGAGTGAAAAAATCTTTGGAGTAGCTTTTCTCTAAGAGAGTGTGGTGGTAGGACTTGAGCTGCTTAGCCGAAACAGACAAGACTTTTCATCTGATTCTTTCATAGCTTAAAAGATCAAAATACAAAATAATATTTTAACTTTCAACAGGTAGAAATCACAGGAAAGATTTTTGTCTGGGCATAGGCTTTGGTAGGGAGGCGCCCACAAGCGAGTTTCGTAGAGGCAAGCAACATCAACCCTCGGCCAGCCTAGGACCCCGACATAAGTTTTCGCACCAAAATTCTGATTTCGATCGGGCGCTGTGAGCAACTCCCGCCACTCACTTGTTTTCCTTACGCGACAGCTTAAGGCAACCTTTCAGTAGCCACGATACTTGGCAGGGGAGCTCACTCCTCCATAGATAGCCGAAGTGGTCCATTTTGCGCATGAGGAAGTGCTGTTTTTTGGTTGAAAGATACTAGGTTGGCAAGCATATCTCAACATCCGTTGTAGTCTAGCTGGTTAGGATACTCGGCTCTCACCCGAGAGACCCGGGTTCAAGTCCCGGCAACGGAACTCCTTTTTATTTTTTGAACTTTTTCCGTTTATGACTTACATCTGAGCACGTCCCTAAGCTTCATCCTACGTTACAATCAATAGCTGATTTTTTTTTCTTCTTCTTCTTCTTTTTTGAATTTTGAAATAGTAAATTTAAGCTCGAGCTTACTGATATCGGATGCAACTCTATGAAAGGAGCTCAGAATTCGGCTAGAAGTGTGAAGAAGCAACAGGTTTTCTTTGGTAGAGACAGGGGGTTCTTAACAAGTGAGCTTCGAAAGTAATGTCAGACCTTTCAAGGCCCTCCTTCAACCACTTCTGGTGACATCATTTTCTCTCCTTTTCTTCCTTCAAGCTGCTTCATAAGCATGATGAACTTGGGTGGGCCAGCAGCAAAGGGCCGATTGACCGGACCCGGGAGATCCCGAACGTCCGCGTGGCGAGAAAATATCGCCTCCGATCACGTGTCGATTTCTGAGTTGGCGAGCCGTGCGCCGTCGACATGTACATCCCCAATTCACCGCAAATCTTCCGGGGTTAAACCAAGGCCATTAATCAGGGAGGGGATGGAAAACAACAAACGAGAGAGAATGGGAGAAAATGGAAGCCTCACCTTCACTTCCCAGAAAGAATCTCTCTCAACCAAAAAACTTACACAGAGTCAAGATGGCCTCATTTTGGTGGACATATTATGGCATTTTGTCCAATTCCCCAAACAGCAAGCAGAGAAAACAAAAATATCATACACAATTTTGAGGTCTTCATTTTAAGAGGTTATGATTGAACTTCTCATCTGAGCCACTTGATGCGATCCCTGCCAAGTAAGCGAAGGTTATCATCCATGTGGCGGGGCTCGATTGGGCGGTGCACGGCAGCCTCAAACGAGACATCTAAGGAAATACACTAAGAGCAATTATATAAGAGATCAGTCGACTGTGTGTGCATGTGTGGTTAAGAGAGGCCAAAGAGGGAGGGAGGCTTTGAGAGGAGATAAGGTATCACAGTTTTTTGCTTGTTGGGCGGTGTTCGAGTTTGGCCTCCACAAGCGAAAAACAATGGCCTCAGCTTCTCTCCTCAAATCATCTCCTGTGCTCGACAAATCGGAGTTTGTGAAGGGCGGGCAGACTATCCGTGTCCCATCTCTCGCCACCGTCCGCTGCCACCCCACCACCGCCCCCTCCGCTCTCATCGTCAGAGCCAGCGCCTATGCCGATGAGCTCGTCAAGACTGCGGTACGTGGTTCGCTCATATCCTTCATTACTTCAAGGATACTCCTAAGTGCATGAGTGAGTAATGTAACTTACGAGAGTTGATACACCTTGATGGTAAAGCCTAGAGAATATGGATAGTCACTTTAGACATCAAACTTTAGCAAATAAAATGCACAAGTAATTCGGAATACGGTCATGCTGCACTATTCCTCCTGGTGAGAAACAATTTTGATATTTTAAGTAGTCCTACCAATTTCAATGCAACTTTTTGTCATGTCGCACTCCGTTACTCGATGAATCTACAAAAACATCGATTGGAAGACAGCCAGAAACAAGAATGCTAGTTTCCATAAAGTCAGCGAAATGGAAAGTATGCATGAAAATACAGATACAATAACAGATAAGATAAAGAAGCTATGAGCTATCGGCCATGTTCTTTCTTGATGGGGAATGATCATTGCATCAGAAAACAGTTGCATCGCCCGGGAGAGGAATCTTGGCCATGGACGAGTCGAATGCAACCTGCGGGAAGCGTTTGGCGTCGATTGGGCTGGAGAACACCGAGGCCAACCGCCAAGCCTACAGGACGCTCCTGGTCTCTGCTCCGGGACTCGGCCAGTACATCTCTGGTGCCATTCTCTTCGAGGAGACTCTCTACCAATCCACCACCGAAGGCCGCAAGATGGTCGACGTCCTCGTTGAGCAGAACATCGTCCCTGGTATCAAAGTCGACAAGGTAAGTCCCTGTTTACACTGGTTTCAGCTATCAAAGTGTGGCAATAGCTGATATGTTTCCAAAGTCTTTGTTGCATCGAATTGTTAGCTAGGCTTTAGGCTTTAATAGAGTCAACCTGTGGAATCAAAAAAAGTAGGTGACGCTGACACTAAAGTAGTTAGTTCATGTTGAAAAAGGCTCATTTTCACATGTAGATTTTGGGGTCTCGATTATTCTCAGAAATAACGTAAGATGTGTTTGTCTTTTGCGGACAACAGGGCTTGGTGCCATTGGCTGGGTCGAACGACGAGTCCTGGTGCCAAGGGCTTGACGGATTGGCATCCCGCACGGCTGCTTACTACCAGCAGGGCGCTCGCTTCGCTAAATGGTATGGGGACATTCCTCTTTCTTATATTTCTTTTTGAATTAAACTAATATATCGTGTCACATGAGCTCCCGTTGTCTTCGGTTAACTGAAAACTCCATAAATTAACTCCGGTGACTGAAAATCTGCAGGAGAACTGTGGTGAGCATCCCCAATGGCCCATCTGCCCTGGCCGTGAAAGAAGCCGCCTGGGGTCTTGCCCGCTACGCTGCCATTTGCCAAGTAAGTTGCAGATTATCCGTAATCGGTTCATTTAATGATTTCTCGAGCCTTTTCACCTATGTCGATGCCAACCCTTTAGTTGATGCAGTCTTGCAATTAGATAGATGTGGTCAGCTGTCTGGTCGGCTCACAATCGGAGTCTCGACCCATGTCAAAGCCAGCCAGCCAATTGATGCAATCATAAGATAGAGTCGATGTGTACATTTGTTGTTCGGCTGTCCGTATTCAGATGCATGGGATAAGATTTGGTTGGACGGTGGTCAATTTACTGACAACATTTGTGTGACTGAACGATGATGCATAGGACAATGGATTGACCCCAATAGTGGAGCCAGAGATCTTGTTGGATGGAGAGCACGGGATCGACAGGACATTCGAGGTGGCCCTGAAGGTGTGGTCAGAGGTGTTCTACTACCTTGCTGAGAACAATGTGCTGTTCGAGGGCATCCTCTTGAAGCCCAGCATGGTCACTCCCGGTGCCGAGTGCAAAGAGAAGGCCACTCCCCAGCAAGTCGCTGATTACACTCTCAAGCTCCTCCACCGCAGGATCCCACCTGCCGTTCCCGGAATCATGGCAAGTCTCTCCTACTTTCGTAGTTAAAGGCGTTCGCTTATTGACTGTACTCATGTTCTGTGACAAGCGCTTAGGACAAATGAGTGCAAGGCATCTTTGATCACATGTAACAGTTATCTTTTGAATTGAGCAGTTCTTGTCCGGTGGGCAATCCGAGGTTGAAGCAACCCTGAACCTGAACGCGATGAACCAGTCCCCGAACCCATGGCATGTGTCCTTCTCCTATGCTAGAGCCCTCCAGAACACCTGCTTGAAGACATGGGGAGGCAGGCCCGAGAACGTGAAGGCTGCTCAGGATGTGCTCCTGCTCCGTGCCAAGTCCAACTCCCTTGCCCAGTTCGGCAAGTACACTGGCGACGGCGAGTCCGAGGAGGCCAAGAAGGGAATGTTCGTCAAGGGATACGTGTACTAGGGCAATGCGTTGAAACTCCACAAGCTCAGAAGATGATTTCAGATTTACTTATGATGGTGATGGTGGCAGATGGAGCATTGGAAGCTGTGAAGAAGTAGAACTGCTAATTCCTCTCTTCTCTCTCTCTCTCTCTCTCCTCTCGAATCTCAATGTGTTATATATGAATATACATGCGTGGAGACTATTTTTGTTTGTTGATGGTCTGGCACTCTTTAGTTGCTTAATAAAACTTCTTGATGATGAGATCGGTTGGTTTGTACTCCTGAAATTATGAGTATGTCCAGTAGCCTTTTCTTCTTCGGGGAGTTTATGTCTGCTCATTTGCAGTTCGGTGAAGAATCATTTCTTCATCTTAGAAAGAAACTCAAATTGCATGGAACTGAAGTGAAGTGAGCTAATTATTGGTCAATTAAAGCATAACTTGCTACTGGTCAGAATCTCAAGTAAATCTGAGAGCCTGGTTTGATCGAGCTCATTAATGTAGAGACGACTGATTCCGGTTATGGACATGTGAGTACACTGTACACATATAACTCAGCAGAGATCTGCACTTAAACTACTCATTGCCAGCACCCAGCAAGAACACTGGAAAGTTAAATATTGCGTCCACGTGCATCAATAATCTGAAAGAACAGGAGTTTTCACCATCATCCAGCACCTCTATACAGAAAATATCGGCATGACTGTTCAGTCGCTTTACATAAATCTTTTTTCTCATTTTACCGCAAAACAAGTGTTCATATAAACTCAATATGGATGGCGGATACTGTTCCACCAGTACATTTGTTAAGAAAAGGATTCTCTCAAATCAATTGCAGATGGCTTCAAAGCCAACAGTGGGAGTGGGATTCATCTGATATAACCACTAGGCAGGCGGACGCGCAAACTTTCACTCGATACAGCTTAACATAATCATGGTAGGTGGAAATGGCAAGTGTTACAGTATACATAATGGTGAACGTAAGTGTTACCTAACAATCAAAACAATAAAGCCCAATGACTGAACTTATTACAACTGCCCTGAATACAGAAATTCTTCAAATAAATTAGAAGAAGAATATATCATGTGTAAAAAAACTCCAATATCCTAAGTAAACACACGGAAGTCTATAGAACTTTTAAGTGTTTAAAGCAAAATGCTGAATCCTTCACTCAGTAACAGGCAGCATGAGAGTGCCTGCCCAGATTCTGCAGCTGAAAAGTAAAATGAAGATTGATTTAACAGCTTAACTTTCTCAGTTTTGGCATTAATGAATTGCCCATTACACTATTATAGTCGACAAGCCACAGGAAATAAGAGCGGTAACTTCTATCGGTTTCTTTTCCCGAATACTCTTCCATAATAAAACCGACAAACAAATCCACTCTCTAACCTCAACCATGTGGCCTCACATGCTACCTTTTTATCTCCTTATCATAGGTCCACAAACATTTCTCCTGAGATGCCCAAGGACATTTTTAGTTCTGACCAGATATTCGAGGGGAGGTCCTGGAGGACCAATATACGAGGAGGCAGATTGGACACAACTCATCATCAACTTGGGATATCGAAAGTAAAGAATCTATTGAAACTTCAAAATCAGAATATAAAATGGTTGAGCATACGCATGATGGTCTAGCATCTTTTCTCCTTTTTCCTTTTTCATGCCAACAACTACACTTTTACCGTGAAAGAAATGCATTAAAGGTTGAGCTACCATTGCACAAGCTTATGTTCTCATAATTTCAAGATAGGTGCATAATAAGCTTCACAAGCAAAAACATCAGACATCTAATGCATAATGCATCCTCTTTGCTGTTTTTTTCCCCTCAGTCTGAACTGTGATTGAACGGCACCAGCAAACTTACAAAACTAGACCTCAAAATAAAGAGAATTGATATGGTTTCACATCAAAGTTTGCACGACTTCCTGCTCTGAGCAACTTGCTTCACATCTCCGCGCTAAGAATGGGTGGAAACATAATTTACAATCTAATTTGTCCATTTGAAATGGCCGTATACTTCACAAACTAACCTCATTCAAAATGAATCTTCACCATCCAATTAGATAATTCACTTCATTCCCTGGCAATCCATCTATTGTCCGCGCAAAAACTGATGAAAGCTATGCCAATCCTTAAGTTTATGCAAGGTGAAGGAATCAAAAAAGTTGTAAAAGTCGCCTGCAATTTAATAATATTCAACTTCCCATCAATTCCGTCAAGGGTAACTCTCATGTTATCCCTTGAAATAGAGATGTAGGCCCCACACCAATTGAAACAAGTAGGACAGACAAAACACAAGTTTCAGTGAAAAATCTCCCACTAAATGAGTACCTAAAAGCGGATCCCAGCAAAACAATCAGTTGACTAACTGTGTTTGCAACTCGCTCTTGGATGCCATAAGTTATTCTATTATCACAGAGTATCCACTAAAAATGAAGCTGACAAAAGCCACCATGCCCTAAGCGTTGATTCTGTTGACTAGGTCGTAGCACATTAGAACATTCTCTGACACACATCAGAATCGTCTGAAATCCATTCTCTCACCAAAACACAAGCATCCTTATTCCTTCAGAAAGTTAAGTGAATCTCCCAGCTAAGAGACCAGAGATGGTGAGCAGGACAAGCAGGAAATTACAGTGCAGATGCTGCCCCAACAAGCTACAAAAGTTTTTCATGAGCTTTCTGCTTCCCGTCATAATGCAGCGAAAGCAAGGAAGAGTCAGTCTGAGTGGCAAGAGTTAATAAAGGTTTCCCTGGAAGCCCTTTCGTTGCCTTCTTTAACTAATTCCATCCACCCATCCTGGAGGTACCTTGCATATTTACATATGGACAAGATAACAATTCCGATTATGCTTCAGATTGCTGCCCACTGTGCTCGCATAATCAACTTTTAGTGCACCCAGAGTAACTAGCTTTGTTGCAGCAGCATAAATGGATTTGCAAAGTTAAAAATCGAATACGAATTATTGGCAGGAGCGGATTACCAATGAAAGACAGCGCTTCTAAATTGAACCATCGCCCGACCTAATTATAGGAATGCCGTTTTTGTCTTTAAAATTTTGACTTATTTTCATGCTAGCCCGCATATCGTAGGGCTATCTCACTTAAGTGCCCCGCATATCTGTTATATGCACTAAATGTTATATGATCTTTAAGCGTTGTTTATCATATGTAGAATTTATATTGGACTTATCTAAAAACTAATGGCATCTCTTAGAAAAAACAACATCCTAGCGCGGTGAGACCAACATAAGAGAGAACGACTATAAAATCGCAGTCCATCGGTATAAGACATTTCTCCAGGAATTGAAAACAATTGTTGGATTCCCAGAGCATTAAATCTAGAAACTTACAAAAATGAAAGGTGGAGAAGGGAGAAAATTAGAGAGCATACATTTGCTTACATTTCAGGCTCTCTATCAAACGATCCAACAGGAACAACGCCAGCGGATTCATGATTAGAGCCATTTGTCACATCCATATCCTGTTCCATCAGTAGAGAAAGACAACTCTAAGTGAAGAAATCAGATTTCACAACATGCAGAGTAGAGATCATCTCACATAAATCAACTCTCAAAGAACAAAGGACCATGGGGGGCCAGCAATGATCGCGATAAACTGCACACCTCGTTCATCGAAGTCTGCCCTTTATTCCTTTGAGGCCGAGAATTGAGATCAATCAATTCTTCTTCCATCTTGCCTTCGCCGCTAGAACTAGCATCTCGGACAGGTACTGGAGACGCCTTGTGATTCTGTGGGACCTCTTTCATCGCGAGCAAAGGTGGCTGATCTTTTTCCCTCTTCACCTCATTCTGATTAGGCGTTTGCAATTCTAATCGACCAGGTTTATCCCCTGGAAACTATAGAAGCAGCCAAATCATTACGAAATCCGAGCGGCTTTGGGCGAACAAATTCACAAAACCTCCTCTTTCTCTCTAATGAAAAAGGCACAAACCTCGACTCTCTGCCTCAATAAGAGATATCTCCCATGGGTTCTCTTGCCGCCAACATGCACAAGCATATCGCATTGCAAGCACAGGGAACTACCATCTATCTCACAGTAAAAGAAAGCTACACAGAGTGTGTCCAAAACAGACAGCAAATCGAAAACCTCAGGTCAGGAAGAGAAAAGGAAACAGAAAAACAAAAAACCAAAAACATGACACCTTCATACCAGGGGCATTCTCACATATATCACAACGCTGGACCTCACTAGGATCGGCGAGCCCAACACGCACATGCCGACTCGCCCACTTGTTACACATATGAACCTGCAACGGCCAATGCGCAGCAATTCACACTTTCGAAAACACCAAGGCCATTTACCGACGCATAAACGAACATAACGAACCCGCACCACCCAATTCTACAGGCAAACACAAGATCATCCACCGCACACGAGCTTCGGCACCACAACAAGCACAAGTCAAGCGAATCAGACAAGTCGCAATCCCTGGACGTGATCACGAGAGACCCAACGAATCAATCTAACGCTCACTCGTCACGATAGAAAAATCGTCACGCATTGGATGTAACGAAGAGTTCTGGAGGAGGACAACCGATACCTTGTCGTCGCAAGCCCGGCACAGGGCAGCCTCGTCGGCAGCGCAGAAAACGATCGCGGCAGCATTCTCGCACACATCGCAGATCGTCCGCATCTCCCACTTCCTATCCGCCTCCTCAAATTTCTTCTCGGGTAAAAGCAATCCGATTCTCTAACGGCTAACGTGCTCCATCATCAGCAATTCAGCATCTCCTCCTCCTCCTCCTCCGCCGCCTCCTTTTCATTTGTCAGCCCTCCGTGGTTCGGCAGACACAGCACAGAAGTTTCTTTTGTTCGAAGAAGTCGACGAAGAACGTCCACACCCTCCGGACCCTTTAGCTCCCACGAGCCCTTGCCGTGCCCAAGTCGTAAAAATCCGACATTTATGAGCTGCGAGCTCGCGTCCAGACATCGCTCGTGCCTAATTAGCCCTTTAAAGGCAAATGAGAAAATGGGGTCGTCCGTGTTTGGACAGTTGCGTGCTTTTGGGGTACGACCAAACTCGTTCGCAGCCACGGCCACAGGCTGCCCCACGTCCAGTACAACGTCAGCCACCAGTTCCATTACCTACCGTGTTGCCCCTTGCTTCCTTTTTGCTTCTTGTTCCTTCTTCGCGATCTTGAGGAGCATCCCATGATGCGCGATATGCCTACGCGAAACGAGCTTTCATCAGTCTGTACTTAGAAATAAGTGCAATGGTGTTTTCTACTTTTCAAGACTGTCGCTCTCTCTTTTCTATTTTTGTCTGCCAAATATATTCCTAAAACTTTGGAACTCCTCGCCAAGAGTTTGGCGGGCCTCTGGTACGCCCATCTGGGAAACCCCGTAAACCCATAAATCCCAGCATGTCGCTCCCTTCTGTTGCGGAAGGTTGTTTAGAACTCGAGTCCTGACAAAGGCCGCCTCCATTGAGACCATATTACACGATTGCGTAGCTCATCTCATTTGTTATTATTCTTTTACATCCGACTTGACGCTTTGAATAAGGCTAAGGGTAAGTGAGGGTTGGATCTGTTTTAACCCATTCTATGATTCATTTATTGAATATAACTAATCATATAACAAATTAGCTCATCATATGTGAATTAAAAAATGAGTTTATGATCCATTTTGACAGATGTAAAATTGGTCAAGGTTCATCTCGTGTTGGAGGCCAGCAGGTCAAACTCGGTACGCATAGGCGGCGATCAACTAATCAAACTTAAAATGGACATAAGTAAACCGAATTCAGCTTAAAACTCACTATGGTGATCGTGTGCGGTGCTTCTGCCTTCTCTTACCAAGTGAGTCTTTTTCAGCTAACAAAAGATTGGACCATAATGGGCCAACGCTTACTTGAGTTCAGACCAGATGGGCCGGAAGATGAGAAAGGAACATCCGAAAGATCTAATTCATCTTTTAACTTGAGAGGTTTCGTCTTCCGGAGGTTCCTTTGTACCTCTTTGTTGGGTTTCCTTCCGTCAATCGTGCTCGCCAAGCTCAGCTTTTACTGGCGCTCGACGCTTTATAGCAATGATTAAAGCAAGTGCTTCGACCAAAGCTGCATTCGCATGTGATTCCAACAATATGTCAAGTACTGTCATTTTGCCAACTTTTTCTCCCGCCAATTCGAACCCGTGTAATGCCAATGAGCCTGCGGATTGGCCGTCGGCCGTGGCGCGGCTAAGGGTGAGCAAGATGGACCGCCCAAATCGGAATCGGATCAGACTGGATTGGACCGACTGATTTGGTCCGGTTCTTGAGAATATCAGTCCGGTTCCCGATTCCTAAAAGTGGAATCGGTTTCTGGGCGGTTCGGTTCCCAATTCTAGGGTAAGAACCAGACCGGACCGATAAATATATATATTCCTTATTTTTTCATATACATATTTATTTACTTTTTAAAATTTTTGAAAAAAATAGAAAGCTTAATCTAATTTCTTCAATTCTTTATTACCTTTACCAATAAGTGATTGGTTCCATTGGAACCAGTCCATAGTCCCAATACTAGCAGGTCCGGTTTCCGGTCCTAGAAACTGGAAACTGGTCCTCCCGGTCCGATTCCCGGTTCTCGGGTTGGACCGGACCGGATAGGGAACCGCTCACCCCTAGGCACGGCGAGCTTGCTACAGTCGCGCCATAACCAAGCTTTCGCTGGTCTATTCATCTTCCTCCTCTCTTTTCTTGAATGGGGCTTTAAACTAATGATACCGTCCAGCTTCTGTCTTCTTTGTATTTGGTCAGAATGAGGAATCTGGGAATTTTTCTTTCCTTTCTCTCTCCTTTTGCCATCTCTCTCGAGATCTGGAAATATTACCCGCAAAACGTCTAAGTTCTAATGTAAACATTCATACAGAGTTCCTTTTTTTTTTTTTTTGAGCTCGGTTCCCAAATCTAGAGAAATTTCCAAGTTTACCTCTTAAGAGCATGATACGTCGTAATATGGAATTTCGATTGCTTTTTTCCTTAGTCTGTCCAGTTCTCCGACAGCGAGATCTGAACATTTTATGATTCTTTCCTTGCCATGTCTCTATTACTTGAATATGCTTAGTTAGGATTGCGCCATCAATCATTTAGATGGACTTAATTGATCCAAAGAGTTATTACGATCATCAACATGACCATATGGGTTTTTTCACAAATCTTCTCACGATGCCCTTTAACGATCAAATAAGAAAAATCCGTAATTTATGGCGCATAAATTTTTTTTTTTCGACAGTCGATTTTTCAGAAAATCGAGATATTCTTTGCTAAATATACTTACTAAAATCTCGGGAAACTCCATTGCCCTTTAGCACTCGCGACCGGAGGACAAATGGTGTGCCTATTAATAATTACTCCGCGTGCGACATCGAAATCGAAATGTGCAATCTTTGACTTTCGATGTTTGCCACCGTCCGAATTCGTGCAGTCCATGTTAATGTCAGCACCAACAATGACCTCCCATCATTGCACGGCGTGGGGAAATCCTCGAGTCGAACGGAGGATTAATTGAAAGGTGGACCACCTTAATAATTTCTAATGTGGAACTGCAAATCAATAAAGTCAATATTAGACGCGCATGGAAGAATTTAAGGATCGGTTTCAAAATTTAGACCCAGTTTTTACCGACCGATTAAGAGGAAACGGAGGTCGGTGACTTCATCATCATATCTGATGATAACGGAATTATGAGATTAATTTTATCACCCGTTCAACGCATTCTACTTGGCGAGGACGAATTCGGACGAGTATGCAAAATGGGTAACTGATGAGGTCAAATAAGGCATCCCGTGCTTCGAGAGTAATTGATATATTGAAAACTCTCGATCGAGTTCGACTCATTAGTAGTACGGAGACGAGCATGTAGAACGACTTCTTTTTTGGACAATATCATTGGAAAGTTGAGAGCACGTCGTCCATGTCCTCAGAAGAAATGGAATCATAAATCCACAAGAGAATCAACCTTTTTGTTGGAGGAGAACCACCTGAGCTTTCATGCTTCGCCCGCCGGTCCAATCATGGCCGGCAGAGTTAAGTCTTTACCGGTCAGACCGGCGCGAGTACTCTGCAATCATGGCCTCTCTCGTTAACACTAACGCGATTAACACTAGCGCGATTAACCCGTGATCTACGCCATACGCCATCCAAAACGCTCTCTTCCTTTTCGTACTAAGGAAAGAACTAAAAAGAAGGTCACTTTTTCTCCTTTTCACATGCTCTCGTGACTTCCATCGAGCCCGCATTTCAATAAAGGGTTAATACCACGAAAAATCCTAAACTGATACACCTGTGACACATTTACCCCAAACTATTTTTTTGATCATAAAAAACCCCAAACCGATACACCTGTGACAATTTTACCCAGAACATACCAAAAAAAACCCAAAACTGGTACACATGTGACACTTTTACCCCGAACTAATTTTTAATATTATTTTTTTTTTTTGAATTTTTTCTTTTTTCTTTTCTTTTTTTTTTCGTTCACCTTCAACCTCTGGCCGGTCGCCGGTCAGAGGCGGAAGCCGGCGAGGGCGACCCTCGACTGCGTCGAGCGAGGGCCGTCCTCGCCTGCCCAGGGCGAGGGCCGTCCTCGCCCGACTCAGGCGAGGGCCGTCCTCGCCCGACGTAGGCCAGGGTCGCCCTCGCCGAGATCCGCGTCGGGCAAAGGCGGCCGAAGCGGCGAGGGCGGCCCTCGCCGATAGCCGGCGGCGACGGCCGCCTCGCCCCGATACCGGCGAGGGCGGCCCTCGCCCAGATCCGGTGAGGGTAGCCCTCGCCCGATACCTGACGAGGGTTGCCCTCGCCGGATCCAGCGAGGGCGACCCTCGCCCGCGTCGGGTGAGGGTCTCCCTTGCTCTAGGCGGGCGAGGACGGCCCTCGCCCGGCGCGGCGAGGGCCGCCCTCGCCGACGCAGCGAGGGCCGCCTCGCCGGCTTCGCCTATCACGGGTCGGTACCGACGACCGGCCAGAGTTTGAAAATGAAAAAAAAAAGAAAAGAAAAGAATAAAAAATAAAAAAAAAATCGAAAAAAATAAAAAATAATAATATTAAAATTTTAATTCATGGTAAAATTGTCACATATGTACCAGTTTGGGGTTTTTTGTGGTAAGTTCAGGGTAAAATTGTCACAGGTGTACCAGTTTGGGGTTTTTGGTGGTCAAAAAAATAGTTCAGGGTAAAATTGTCACATGTGTACCAGTTTGGGGTTTTTTATGGTCAAAAAAATAGTTTGGGGTAAATGTGTCACAAGTGTACTAGTTTAGGGTTTTTCGTGGTATTAACCCTTCAATAAAAACCGACAAAACGTAGGTGACTCGCTAATATAAATCGGTGTTATCGTATTATTAGATAATTTCTTTTACGTCGAGAAAACATTCTCTGGCCTGTGAAATATTCTGATTATTTCATTGGACTAAGCAAGACATGGGGCAAGCTCGATAATCAAGTTATCCGTGCCGTAATTATGAGATAATGGCTCCATCCATGTGCCTTTAAAACTTATGACTATGATTTTCGTTGTCTTTAATATTGTCGTAATCATGAGTTAATGGCTCAACAAACGTAGGCACTACCAACATGACTATTTAGTCCATGTCCTTTTCAGCTCTTTTGCAACAATTTTCTCTGTCTTTAAAAAAAGACATGTTTCTTTAGTTCAAAAAGGAGCAATCCTCCATGTGTGCCGATTTCGAAAAGTGTTCGATCGAGTCATGATCGTATAGTGCTAATACGAACGAGTTCGAGATGTTATATCTTAGGAGGTACAGTTCGTGAAACTGCTTAGTACCATTAGCAAGAACTAATCACCTTAAGGAAATTAGGTTAGCCTCACCTCGCCTCCTATGTGATTCCGTTACAATTTTATAGCAATCGCGCAAGTTCAAATTTAGTCTGTAATTGTATTCTCTTTTACTCATTGACTTGGTCGTTGTTAAAGTTGTTATCGTTTTCTCGGAGTTATCATTTCTGGTTACAACAAAAAAGTATCACGTATTTTTCCTACAATACATCTCGGTAA